AATATTGCCAATGGCCCGGGTTATATAATTTAAACATACTATCATTCGCAAAAATAATTTTCATTCAATTTATTTTCATTGCAGGGAAATGTAGCTGCGACTCACCGTTTATTTTATTGTAAGGCAATATAAGAAATTAGATGACGCCCCAAATTAAAAACCCAAGAGAGAGAGAGAGAGAAAAAAAATTTGTTTTTTTAATTTAGTAAGATGGGGTTTAACGTCCACTCGACACAAACTAGGTCATTTCGGGACTAACATATGGTTTAATTTTATTTCAATAATTCGCTTGTGCGTAGGGGTCTTTAGCAGTGGGAGGAAACCGGAGGACCCGGAGAAAACCCACGAGGTGGGACAGGCGACCCTACTCCTTGCCACGTACAACCGGGGATTCGAAACCACGCCAGTCGACTCAATGACAGACTTTATGGTACAGCGCGCACGTGCTAACCATTTCTAACAGTATTGGTTCTTTAATCAGGTTCGGATCACAAGACTAGTTTAACATATAATAATACTTTTATTCTCTGCTTCTTCTAACATATTATGTACAAAACTTAAAGACTCCATAACTAACTTGTATTGAGGGAGCCATGTGCTAGCTTGGCACAAATGTGCCAACTCTCAGGCGCTCTCCCTCGTTGAGTGTCGTCACGTGCCAAGGCGCCCATGGCCTCCGCTCTCGTGTCCTATCCGGACCTCTCTCTGTTTTCGTTTGTTAATCTGGGTTTATAAACCATTCCAGACAAAGGAATCTTATTAGACATCTGGCTGATGTATCATGTATCATATCAGGTTTAACATTTGCTTATCATCAAAGAAAGTTTAAATAAGACATGTCATCAAGGTATGGTTACATAATCACATAGACCAAGAACTCCCGAGATGTCGATAGCGAACAGGTGTCAAGTTGGCAGGAAGCGTCTATAACATCAGATAATCTGTGATTATGTAACATACCTTCCTTTTTTTGAATAAAGTTATGAATTATATGAAATAACTTTTCAAGACCATTACAAAATTAAATATAAATGGAGTCGATGGTATCTACCCTAATTAATATATAAACAAAAATACGAAAAATAACAATACACTGATTAAAAGTTATATTAACAGCAAAAATGTAAATGGCAAAAGACTAAAACACTGGTTGAGAAGTAATAAAACACTGGTTGAAAAGTTCATACATAATAAGTGTTCATACACGCGAGACATTGAAATCACATAATTATGTCGCAGATAATTTTACTGTTCACACACACGCATTCCTGGAATCGCATATATAATGAAAAATATTCGAATTTGCACACACGTGAGTTATTTGAATCACTAATAATTATAACAAAAAAAGAACACTGTAAAACTATTCTAATGTTTGCACACAATCACTAATAATTATAAAAAACATAAAAAACCACTGTAACTATTCTAATGTTCGCACACACTCGAGAAGCGCGAAATACAATCCTTGAAGCCAACTGTAGGGAGATACAAATTCATTTTTTCTTCTTCCTTCATTCCGTCGTCTTCTTGTATAAGTTTCCCGTAATGGCAAGGGGCCAGTGTCTTCCGGTAGTCTTATCTTTTCCATACCACCTGGCCGGAATGGTGTGTTACGATATGTGCTATGTAATAACTGCAACCCGTGCCCAAGTTTTATCATCTGTTTATCATATCATGGAGTGAACTTAATTAATAGTTAATCAAATTAGCAAGTGGAACAGACTTAAATTAGCTATCCTATCTAACGATATTTACATTATTATTTACATGGATAGAATTGAAATTAGGATGTCATATTGTTTTATCTCGAGATAAAGAATAAAGAATGATCTGAACACATTTAGCAACACATTCAAATTAGCAAGTGGAACAGACTTAAATTAGCTATCTAACGATATTTACATTATTATTTACATGGATAGAATTGAAATTAGGATGTCATATTGTTTTATCTGAACACATTTTACCAATCTTTAATAAGATATTTTGAATGAACTTATCAAAATTAATAACGGTTTATCTCTCTTAATTCTGAGCACGACCCTCTCCTGGGGTTGAACCAATCCCACCTGACTGGGGTTTCACATAAAACTTTTCCCGTAACATATCGGGTCATCCCAATTTCATAGTATTGAGGTATCACAAATAAAATTCTCTCCCGTAAATATCGGGGCATCCCATTAACATTTGGGGTAATATACACATATAGACAAAACAAACAAAAAAAACTTAGAGATAAACGCGTTAATACTGTGTGAATGTTATTGGGTTCAATTCCAAATTACGATACTGTTAACCCAATTCTAGTTAAACAATCACAAAACATGTTACTTTTCGATATTAACCTGTTAATACTACTTTTAAATGCCAAAATATGTGTTCAAAAACAAACATTTATAATTTATAATCTTTAAAAACAACATGACCCATTGTAAAACAAACAATATATATATACAATTTTGTTTTAATCATTTTCCTACAAATAGTTAAGGACTGTTCCACTACTAGCTTGAAAGGCAATACATTAAATTAAGTAACTACACCATGATATTTAATAAAGCGTGATGATACACTGCTGATTTCCTAGTTAAATTATAATACATAGCACAATGTCAGGATTAACCGTGTGGCCATGGTAGGATTAGAAAAAGACTCACCTTTTTATAGCTTCTAATGGTTAGGACTTAACACGTTATCCTGGTCTACGGCACCAATTTATATGTGAAAGTATTGGTTCTTTAATCACGTTCGGATGACAAGGCTAGTTTAACATCTTATAATACTTTTATTCTCTGCTTCTTCTAACATATTATGTACAAAACTTAAAGACTCCATAACTAACTTGTATTGAGGGAGCCATGTCCTAGCTTGGCACAAATGTGCCAACTCTCAGGCGCTCTCCCTCGTTGAGTGTCGTCACGTGCCAAGGCGCCCATGGCCTCCGCTCTCGTGTCCTATCCGGACATATCTCTGTTTTCGTTTGTTAATCTGGGTTTATAAACCATTCCAGACAAAGGAATCTTATTAGACATCTGGCTGATGTATCATGTATCATATCAGGTTTAACATTTGCTTATCATCAAAGAAAGTTTAAATAAGACATGCCATCAAGGTAAGGTTACATAATCACATAGACCAAGAACTCCAGAGATGTCGATAGCGAACAGGTGTCAAGTTGGCAGGAAGCGTCTATAACATCAGATAATCTGTGATTATGTAACATACCTTCCTTTTTTTTTGAATAAAGTTATGAATTATATGAAATAACTTTTCAAGACCATTACAAAATTAAATATAAATGGAGTCGATGGTAACTAACCTAATTAATATATAAACAAAAATACGAAAAATAACAATACACTGATTAAAGGTTATATGAAGAGCAAAAATGTAAATGGCAAAACACTAAAACACTGGTTGAGAAGTAATAAAACACTGGTTGAAAAGTTCATACATATATACTAAAGCGTTCATACACGCGAGACATTGAAATCACATAATTATGTTGCTTATCATCAAAGAAAGTTTAAATAAGACATGCCATCAAGGTAAGGTTACATAATCACATAGACCAAGAACTCCCGGGATGTCGATAGCGAACAGGTGTCAAGTTGGCAGGAAGCGTCTATAACATCAGATAATCTGTGATTATGTAACACATTTTAATTTAGTAAGATAGATAGGCATTATCCAATAAGGAGTGTGGCACTTTGGCATTTTCAAATTATTATTGAAAGGGTCCATGGGACTGACATTTCAAATCTAGGCATCGGAACATTGGTTATTTCGTGTATTAGTTTAAAAGTTATTAAAAATACTTTTAAAAATCGACAATACTTTAGTCTAGATTAATCGTTTGAGTCAGAAATATCACATGTTTGTGATAATTTCTCAATAGTTTCTGTTATCCAAAATACCATAAAACTACGAAATTCAAGCGATTTAGTTTATTGATTTCCATTGAAGCCTGCGAGTAAATGAAATGCCAAGGTCACGAAAGCGACATGCAAGTTCAAGACCAACCCACTGATACGTTTCAAAACGAATAATACGCAATAAACTTATTTATTCTATCTCTTTACGACTGTCTGACCATGTGCAGAAATTGTTACAACGTATGAAACTCTCCTCATTGGTACTGTAACGGTTAGTTCAACCTGGCAACAGTTTTCAGTTCCGAAGCATTTATGCTTACACCCTAAGTGCCCTCGCCGGAATTGTGCACTGCGCGAGAGCAAGCAATTTTACCTAAAATCTACTAAAATTGCATTTTAAGTTACAATCGATCCTCGTAAAATGCATAAAATTTAAAATTTCATTTTGATTTTATTTAAAATCTATTTTAGTGATTTTAGTTTAAGTTTTTGTGAAACAGGGCCCTGATTTCTGGGGAACTTTTGTCCGGATAGCAAATATTTCAGCCTACTTTTCCATGAATTCTAACTTCCAAGAAATCTTGTACCTGCATTATTGATTTATTACACGAAACCTCGGTTTTCTTTGTTAGTTTGGGGGTTGGATGGCCGAATGGTAAGCACGTGCGCGCTGTATCATATGGTCTGTCATTGAGTCAACTGGCGGAGTTTCGATTCTCCGGTTGGACGTGACAAGGAGTAGGGTTGCCTGTCCAACCTCGTGGGTTTTCTCCGGTTTCTTCCCACTGCGCGCAAGCGAATTATTGAAATAAAATTGAACCATGTGTTAGTCCCGAAATTACCCAATTTGTGTCGAGTGAACGTTAAATCCCATCTCTCTCTCTCTTTGTTAGTGCCAGAGGCTTTTTCTCAGACAACTGGGTACTGTTTTGGGATAATTAGTGATCTACTTCTCGAATTCGACCCCGAGGGTTTCAATGGTGTGTGTAGTGTTTGTCTCAGATAAAAGGTTTATGATACTTCTAGTTTTGCTGATTATAAAGTGATAATTTCAGTATCACAGACAAAATTTGATTATAAAATGATTATTTCAGTATTACAAAATCCGATTATAAATTTCAGTATTACAGAATCAGTTTAAGCACCGTATAGATCCCAATGGTGACGGTAAAGCCACATTTGACGAAGTTAAAAATTTCCTCCGTCATTACCAGCCACATATTACAAGCAGAACTGTTAACAATTTCATTCAACGAAGAGATTTAAATGGTAAGTACTAAAGACGATATTTTTGTGCATACTTGAGCTGAACATACAGATTTCTTTTCATTGGAACAAGTTTAACGTGAATACATTGCTATACCTATAGTCTACGTCCGTCCCCCTTCTTTAGAGCAAAGTTTTGTAAGTATGTTTATATTGTAGGTGATGGTACACTAGTATATTTATATTGTAGGGGATGGTAAAGTTAAAGATGCATTCCCACAAAAGTATTTATCGGGTGGTTATTTCCAATAAAAGGATGGCAATTTTGGTATATATGGAACGTAGAGACATCCAATCTTACTAGAAAAATGCTGGATTCCCCGAAAAACACCCATGGGGCGCGCATAGGACAAATCCGAGAGGGTGTCACGATTAGGGCTGTCTGCTCAAGTGACGTCAAAGGTTGCACGCACAGATTGTCTGACCTCTTTGCATTGGGGAGCGCTTAATGTATTTTGATAAACATGACTTAAACGTGCAACAGATTCTGAGACTAAACTGCGGGAAAAAAGTGGACAGGGAATAATCCAATCGAGTTAATACCGGGGTATATCTATGTTGTAGGTAATGGTATAATCGAGTTACTACCGGAGTATATTTTGGATATAACGACACCGGATTATACCCAGACTGGGGCTAGAGAATGGTTTGATTTGGAAGATACAAACGGAGATGGTTTCGTATCGAGTGATGAGTTGGAAACAATAGCATTGAATGTTGGAATGAGTCGTGATGAAGCTTTAGGGACAGTTAATACTTACTATATGACGATGGATACAAACAAAGATGGCAAGCTTAGCTGGGATGGTAAGTCATTCAAACGGCGAACTGGTTATGGTCTACTCTCGACACACTACTTGGGCAGTCTGGTAGAAATGAAATGGAGTTTCACGTGCTGCGTTTCTGCACCGATTGGGCTAATGAAGACGTGCAGTGTGCTATGTGGAAAATTTGCGCAAACATCGGCGCTTTAACGACCTACTCTTATTTCGAAGGGATCATTTACGTACATGTCACTGTGTACACGGGACCTTGGTTTTTCGTTCCACCCGAGCGACTATTGTTCATTGTTGCTCCACACAAGGGACAACCATGCCGGAAATCCCGAGGAATTTTCTCGTCAATACTAGACACTATTCCACGATCTATAAAAATTCTAAAATCTATAGTGGCTGATAGTGGCCATGTTAAATCTCGCCCTTTTCATAACGCGACAACACGACATCACAACAGTATTGACGCAATACTCTGTCGTATTATCGTGTTATTTTTGTCGTAACTTTGAGATGTCTCTTTCTACAAGTCACAAAAATACAGCTGTACTCATTACATCATATAAGTAGCAGATTAGATAAATATAAATAAGACTCGTGCAAAAGAGATAATAGAAAAACGTTTAGTATTATTTGTTTTCTCAAAATAATGAAACATTTTGTGCCCAAAAGTGAATTATATTTTGTATTATATTCAACCAACGGCTGCCAGACAGGATACGCCCACATTTTGCAAGAGATGGATAGAGAACAAGCTAAAAACAAACGAGATTTTTTGTACAATCAGGGGCAATAATCCAGAAAGTTATGGTCTGAAATGCGCAAATATCAAAAGGGGCTGAGATCTTTGGGATATAAAGATATGTTTTAAGTTTCATCAAAATCAGATAAAAATTGTGACCTCTACAGGTTCCACAACCTTCGTAGCATACTTTTACACAATTTGCGTACAAAGTTCGGCCATTTTGTCGGGCAGTTTCATTTCGATTTTCCCGAAATTCTAATTCAACCGTCATTATGGTGGAATGGTGATATATTTAAACGGATTTTAAAATCGGAAAAAAAATTGTGACCTCTAGAGAATCCGCATGCCAAAAACGTGATTTTTCGAACCTTCAGGCGCCATAATCCAGGAAGTTACGTTCGGATATACGCGATTATCAAAAGGAACCAGATCTTAGTGTGTAATGGTGAAATATTCACAATTTTTTTTTAAATCAGATATAAATTGTGACCTCTACATGGAACGCAAGTTAAAGCGTGATTTTTTGTACATTCAAGGGCCATAATTCAGGAAAATACAATCCGATACGCGCGAATATCGAAAGGAACCAAGATCTTTGGATTATAAACATGTATTTCAACTTTCATCAAAATCGGATCAAAATTGTGACCTCTAGAGGGTCCACAACCTTGATTTACCAGATGTTTACACTACTTGCGTACGAGGGGCGACCATTTTGTCCAGCAGTTTTGGCCCGATTTTCACGAAATTCGAAGTCAACAAACATTACTGTGTAACGGTGATATATTCGAACGTTTTTTTTAAATCGAATAATAATTTTGACTTCTAGAGGGACCACATGCTAAAAAAGCGATTTTTCGTACAACCAGAGGCCATAATAATCAGGAAGTTACTATTCGATATGCGCGAATATTGAAAGGAACCGATATCTTTGGGTTATAAACTTGCTTTTCAAGTTTCATCAAAATCGGATCAAAATTGTGGTCTTTAGAGGGTCCACAACTTTGATATACCAGATGTTTACACTATTTGCGTACGAAGGGCGGCCATTTTGTGTGGCAATTTTTGTCCGATTTTCATGAAACTCAACCTCAGACAAAATTACGGTGTAACGGTGATATATCCGAACGTTTTTTTTTAAATTGGATAATAAGTGTGACCTCTAGAGGGCCCACAAGCTAAAAACGCGAATTTTCGTACAATCAGGGGCCAGAATTCAGGAAGTTACGATTCGATATGCACGAAAATACAAAGGAACCAAGATATTTGGGTTATAAACATGCATTTCAAATTTCATCAAAATCAGATGAAAACAAAATTGTGACCTCCACAGGATCCACAACCCTGATTCGATAAGAACCAAGATCTTAGGGTGATAAACCTATAATTCAAGTTTCATTGAAATCGGATAAAAATTGTGACCTGTAGAGTGTTCACAAACAATTGTGGACGGACGGACAGGGGCGACGACAATATACGTCTACATGTCATGTACGACACCCACCAATACTTATAGATGACATGAACGGTAGTTTAGACGGGAATTCAGAAGATTTCACATTTGTTTTATAACAAGGTGGGAAGGGGATTGCAGAAAGAATCAAATCGGGCCACATACTTTAAAATCACCGCATTAGTGTTGCACGCCACCCCAATAGTTGCAGGAGAAGTTTTTTTATGAGGTGCAGGATAGGCTGTTTTATGAGGCGCAGAAAACGATTCGCAGCTGTTATTGACCTTATCGCATATTCATCCGTTTGGAATCACTAATAGGATCGAGTCCTAGATGAATAAAAATAGGCCAAGTATTGCCTTCAACTATGAACACACTCAAAAAGTCCTATACACCCCTCTCCCCTACGTCTCTTATTTTGTTCTACAAATAATTTCAGAATCAATAAAACGGTATCAATGATGTTTGATAGGACTGGAAAATAATATGTCTAAAATTGATTAAACAACATAGGGTAGTAATGAGAAATATTGCATTTTGAATCCGTATCAATGATAACGTACATTTACTCAGTAGGGCAAAACACTCAATGCGCGCAAAAGAACTGCGTCCCCTTCACTTAGCCCCTGCGCTCTGCATGGATCAAATTTAGCACGATCAATACTGGCACCCTCTGATGTAAATGCATGCCCGAACCACTTCTATCATATTGAAATGCGCTTTGAATCTTTCTTTTTTTTTTTTCGATCGGCTGCTTCCCTTGTTTTCAAGTACCCTATGTTGTTTAATCATTTTAGACATATTTTTTTCCAGTCGTATCAAACATCATTGATTATTATTATTATTATTATTATTATTACAGCTTATTTATAGTGCACCCTTTCATATAACATGTTCAGGGGCACTTTACAAAGTGACAATGTAAATCACACATAAACAACAAGATTATGGGCATGTTAACGATTGTATACAGAGTCAGTTAAAAGCCTGATTAAATAAATGTGTTTTAAGTTGTTTTTTAAAAGAATACAGAGATGTACAACATCTTAAACTAAATGGTAGATTATTCCATAAAACAGGTGCTTGATAACTAAAAGAGCGCTGACCATAGGAGACTAGTTGAACAGTTTTGGGCTTTAAAAGTAGTTTATTTGATGTACGTAATGTTCGGCCAGGTGTATAAAGTTCTAAAAGATCTGAGGGGTAAATAAAACAAAAGAAGAGACGGTGGGTGGGGGGGGGGGGGGTATGGGACTTTACTGGGCCTATTTTTAATCATCTAGGCCTGGATCCCATTAGTGATGCCAAACGAATGAATATGCGAATCGTTTTCTGCAACTCATAAAAAAAAACTCTCCTGCAACTATTTGGGTGGCGTGCTACACCAATGCAGTGATTTTAAAGATTGTGGCTCGATTTGAGGCTTTCTATAATTCCCTCCCCACCCTGTAATAAAACAAATATGAAATCTTCTGAAATCCCTTCTAAACTATCGCTCTAGTCATCTATAAATATTGGTGGGTGTCGTACACGAGCAAATGTTTGCTTACTTGTTCAATACCTCCGACACCACTTCTTATTCACGGAATTAACATATGCTAACTCACTCTGGTCCTGCTATTGTAATTTTAGATTTTTTTAATATAATACCAAATATAATTCACGTTTGGACGCAGAATGTTTCATTATTTTGAGAAAACAAATAATTAATCAACGTTTTTCTAATATCTATTTTGCACGAGTCTTATTTATATTTATCTAATCTACTACTTATATGATGCAATGAGTACAGCTGTATTTTTGTGACTTGTAGAAAGAGGCTAAGCCGACAAGTCCACATCTCGATGTTACGACAAAAATAATACGATGTTACGACAGAGTAAAGTGTCGTGTGATTGCGTCAATACTGTCGTGATGTCGTGTTATAAAAAGGGCGAGCTTTAACATGGCCACTATCAGCCACCATAAAAATCTATTCCACTATCTAAAAATTCTAAAAAAAGAATGCTAGACACTATTCCAT